TTTTGGACTTCTGTCCTTTAATAATTAATGAAATCTCATCTTTGGACACAGTGATAGGGTCAGAGGCAGTGGGGGGAAGAGTTCCGGTGGCATACCTCATCCTCCACTGCCTGGATATAGGAGGGGTGGGTGGGATGTGAGCTGGGAGAGCATTGCGCTGTAATTCTGTCTGCAAAACATTCCGCCTTTTCATCGTCCTCGAATTCAATAGAACCGTCGGACTGGGAGAGACGGGGAGTGTGAGTGATAGCGTCTATGCAGAGGGCTCTCACCATCTGGTAGTACGCTGCTTGTGAGGGGGAGATATTGTCCATGAGTTTTCTCTTTTCGAGATCTCTTAATTTGGAAAAGTGTGCACGGACTTTTCGTTGATGACGATTGGCCATACGCCTATAGTCAGGAGTGGGATAGAGTGCAGCTCTCTTGGATTTTATGAGATTATGGGGGAAGACTATTGTTATTAGTGACCAGGACGGCCCTTTCATTCTCCTTAAGGGAGGATTTTATGAGGGTGGCGATAGTATCGACCGAGAGGGTGATGGGGGAGTCTAGAGAGTCCATAGCTGAGGTTAAGGACTCCCTGAATCCCTTCCAGTTGGTAAAGGTTTTAGAGGTGGGAGTTGGAGGAAGTGTCAAATGGCCAAGGATGAGTGAGACAGGACGGTGGTCGGATCCTAGATCATCGAATCTCGATTGCTCTTAGGTTGAGAGATACTTCTTTTACCAACGCTAAGTCTAGCTCGTCAAAAGCATGGTCGCTGTTATCGGGATAGTGAGTGACAGCGAGGGGACTGTAGAAGGTAAGGTCGAGAGGCTGAGTAATATCGAGCAGATCCCTGCCACAACGAGTAGTAGGTCCATTCAGTATGTTTGGAGTTGAAATCTCCAAACGTAATGACTGAATTGTCTAGGGCGATGATAGCTTCGAAATCTCTCTTAAGTGGAAGGGTATATAGGGTATCCACTAGGTATATAGCTGAAAGCTATGATAATGGACTGATGTCCAGTCAAGGCTATCCTACTGTGGCTTTCATATTGGTAAGCGGCGGAGTAATGATGTGGGAGCGTAAAGTCACACACCCCCTATCTTGGCAGCCCTTGCCGCCGTCCGCGCTTCCGCAGCCCCACCGCTGGCCCCCACCCTCGCCAAGAAACAAGTCCCGCCCCATGTCTTCCTCAGAGACAGGACACAATTCATCAGGCTCTCCAATTCGACACAGATATCAAGTACTACCAAGCCAATAACCTCATCGAAGATATTGTTACGAGCTTGTGGTTCGTGATAATAAAAACTGCCGATTGAATTACCAAAATTTACACTTTTATTACCGAACACCAATTAAACTTAAAACACTAATAATTAATCACACTTTATTTCGCTCCGAAGCTTCGATTATCTCGCCAAATTCAATATTGCACCGATAGCGTGTTGCGGCGGTTTAAATACACCTTTTACACCGAAACATCCAGAATATTCCCATAGATACCGACCAGACGCAGAAAGTTCGAGTGTGGGGCTTCTATAAAGCTTATCTTCTGTTTGATACTAGATGGCGCTGTTGGTCGAAAGTCAAGATTGACATTTTCTAGGAAGCCCTCCTTGCTATTTTCCCCGACACTAGATAGCGCTAGTGCCAGGTACCTGACATCAACTTTGCGCGGAACAATATTAAGATCATCCCCGAGTCCATCGACTTTCGACGACCTACCACATGTACGCTCTTTCGGAAGAGCGTAAAATCAGGGCTGTCCTCCGCGGAGTTCCCTCCGAACTCGCCAACGAGGATATCCGGGAGGATCTTAAGTCCCAGGGCTTTTCACCGTACAGGTACAGGTACAGGAAATCACCGTGTGCGTCCTGTGCGTCGAGAGTAAAGGTCGAACATCCCTGTAGCGGCGCTGTCGTCGCGCCACTAGCACACCGAAACACCGAAGCCTAAATCGCGCTATCAACATTCCGAATCATAAACAGTATATATAGAACATCTCCGAACTATCACACGGAGTGTTGGCCGCTCCCCGGGCAGAACACCTTGCCCGGTGGGAGATTTTTTTTATAAAATAGGGTGACAAACGAGCACACAATCCACCTGATGGTAAGTGGTTGCTACGGCCCATAGACATCTACATCTATCCTCCATTAAAAATCAAAATGCAGATGCGTTGTCACCCGTGAGGACTAAGATGGAATGCCTCGTTTCCAGTAAAAAGGGTCTCCGGTTCTCTACACTCACCATACGAAATACAGCAGCATTAAGCTACTATTTCACGCTGGTATTCTCTGAGAGCGTGGTCCTTCCACGGTCGAGCCGACCCATTCGTGCTACAACTATACTACTAATATAACTGCAGCATAGCTCTACCACGTATAAATCTCCCCTTTTCCTACCACGGCCACAGTGGTGACCCCGACGTGATCTGAACACGCAACCAACAACCTTCGGAAACTTGAAGCTTCATCATCGTCATAGAATAACCCCACCCATTCGCTCCCGAGCAGATATCGTCTGCAGTCTTCATATCTTGCAAGCCATCTAGCTTCACAAGGTTCATCACAGCACTGGAATAATAATGCTTCCTGTTCCTTCAAGCTACTCTCTGTGCCATACAGTGTTCGGCACGGCTCTGGGCCTTACTGCTAGCCTCTGCTTCACGGCACTCTCGCAGATTGCTTGCCTTCTTCTCGACTCATAGCAGACTACAAAATAATCTCCTGGCACTTGCACATTCGTCGACAACGGGACTGCACTATCGACCTCCGGTCTGAGCAGGGGGATGATGTAGCGGCGCTGTCGTCGCGCCACTAGCACACCAAAACACACCGAAGCCTAAATCGCGCTATCAACATTCCGAATCATAAACAGTATATATAGAACTTCTCCGAACTATCACACGGAGTGTTGGCCGCTCCCCGGGCAGAATACCTTGCCCGGCGGGAGATCTCCCCTTTTCCTACCACGGCCGCAGCTCGCTTCTTCTTGCTGTTCCGGAGCTGTGTTCCACGCCGCCGCCGCTCACCGACTACGCGCGCGCACCGATCTGCATGACTTTTATAGCCCGGTTCAGCGACGTAGCTTCGTGAGCACAACACGAGTCTCACATCGGGAAACGAAACGTACATAATAGTTGTATATTTTGATTAATTTTCATTGGTCATAATGTTAGAATTATAATTGGCTAGGGAAAATAAAAATTGTTACCATTGGTTAACCAACACCGCAGCTAGCCATATAAATATAGGCAAGGTTAACGAAAATATATTCCATTCCATTACTTATTCATACTCCAATCGGCTTTACATAAACACTAGTTTCATTTCTCCACCTTAAAACCACTCGGAGTCTGTTAATAGTGGACCGTTCATCTCCACTATTATAGTGGTGACCCGTACGAACACCGCGTAGGAAGCCCGTGGCGAACACCGAGAAGGAAGACTTCAGTATATATAAAATCAGTGTAATCAAGCCGTCATTATGGAGCAAGAGGCGGACACATATACATCAATTGTCGAAGAAATTCGGAAGTTATCACACGAAGTCGATGCGCTCAAAGTTTCCCAGCATCACACCTTTTACCAGCAACAGTGCAACCAGCGCAATCAGCAACACCGAAGATCACCTTTTCATCGCAACCGCTCTGAAAGTAGAAGTCGAATAAGCACAACATCAAGATCCCCTTACTGCTACTATCATCGACGTTTCGGGTTCGAGGCAAGAAAATGCACAGAACCGTGTACATTCAAAAATGAAAATACGAAGGCGCTCGAACTAACTAATACGCTCAATGCGATGGGATCCAGCGTAACAGCAAAGTCCTACCGTCTTTTCGTCACCGATAAAAAAAGCAAGCTTACTTTCTTTATCGACACCGGAGCAAATATCTCAGTGTTACCGCCGAAGCAAGGACAGAAGTTGAAGCCACTGGATTTTCAACTCTATGCAGCAAACAATACGGTGATTCCTACATATGGAGAAAAAACAATGGAACTTGATTTAAATCTACGCCGACCATTCAAATGGAGATTTATCGTCGCTAAAGTCAGCAAACCAATCATCGGTGCTGATTTTCTTCAACATCACCAGTTGATCGTCGACATCAAAAATAGAAGAATCATCGACGGAAAAACCAATCTTGCATCTCATTCTTTTGTCCAAGCAACCAATCTGCCCACAATAAGAAGCATAGATGTTCAACAACCGTATCAAGATACAAGATCCTCGAAGAATACCCTGGTATCACAAGAATAACTTCAATGAAATTAACACCGAAGAACGACGTTGAGCATTTCATCGAAACCAATGGACCACCACTTCATTGCCGTGCACGTCCAATCGCACCACACCTATACGAGCAAATTCGAAAGGAATTCGAAAACATGATAGAGCACGGAATATGCCGTCCAAGCAAAAGCCCTTGGTCATCACCACTTCACATTGTACCGAAGAAGAACGGAGAACTACGAGTTTGTGTAGATTACAGATGACTGAATTCTATTACCACTCCTGACCGCTACCCAATACCGCGAGTCAGGGATTTCACTCATCAACTATCAGACAAGACTATATTCTCCACCATCGATCTAAACCAAGCTTACCAACAAATAAAAATACGCGATGAAAACATAGAGAAGACAGCAATAATTACCCCAATGGGATTATTCGAATTCCCAAGAATGATCCCGGGATTAAAACGGAGGTCAAACTTTCCTAAGATTCATACACGAAGTACTTCATGGACTGGATTTTTACATTTATTGATGATCTCCTTGTTGCAACCCTGATAAAGAAACGCACGAAACCCATCTACGTACAGTGCTACAGCGATTAGAAGACAATGGAATCACAATCAACCCTTCGAAATGCATATTTGGACAGCAAGAAGTTCAATTTCTTGGTTTCACCGTCAGCAAGGAAGGAATCAAACCGCCTGCCGAAAAAGTCAGAGCAATCATCGATTATGCGAAACCTAAAACTATCGAAGAGCTAAGGCGTTTTCTTGGGATGATAAATTTTTACAGAGAACACATACCTAAAGCCGCTGAAATCCAAGCACTACTTCACGCCTACCTTCACAACACGAAGAAAAAAGATAAAACGTCAATCGAATGGAACGATGAAGCCACGAAGGCATTTGAAGCTTGTAAAGTTGCGATCCAAAATGCAGCATTACTCGCTCACCCATCACATGAAGCAACCCTTGCTATCTTCAGCGACGCATCCGACCTCTCAGCCGGAGCCGTTCTCCAACAACACAGCAATGGGAAATGGCAACCACTTGGCTATTTTTCGAAGAAGTTCTCCGATACTCAACGTAACTACAGTACATTCGACCGAGAGCTACTCGCTATTTACATGGCTATCAAGCACTTCAGAAAAACGTTCGAGGGTCGAAACCTGATCGTTTTTACCGACCACAAGCCATTAATATATGTACTTCCAAAGAAACCATTACTATCGGAAACACCACGAAGAGCAAGACAACTTATTTTCATAAGTGAATTCACGACCGACATACGTCACGTCACAGTGGAAAGGACAACATAGTCGCCGACGCACTCAGTCGCGTACCAATCGACAGTGTAACGTGCCCTAGATCAATCGACTATCATAAGATCGCCGCAGCACAAGTATACTGTAAAGCCGCAACAACAACCATGCGACCATACCTACCAGAAGAATGTCGTCACGAAGTCTTCAATGCACTGCACAGCATAAGTCATCCAGGTGTTAGAACAACAAGAAAATTCATCACTGAAATATTCTTTTGGCCTTCAATGCAAGTGGATGTTGGCAACTGGGCGAAGCAATGCCTAGCTACATTTCCACCCACGGAGAGATTCGACGTTGACATCGTTGGACCATTACCTACTTCACCGCAAGGACATCGTTACCTCGTAACAATGATCGACAGAACAACAAGATGGCCAGAAGCAATACCTACCGATGATACTTCAGCCGAATCGGTCGCGAAGATAATTTATGAAAATTGGATTACTCGTTTCATGGGGGGATATTTGCCATAGTTGCCACGCTTGGCGAGCGGGTTGGCAACCGCAGTTTTTTATGATAACATAGTTGTTATCAGGAAGATGCTGCTGCCCATCTCCTGCCTGTCTCCCTCGGTCGCCTCTTACGACACCCACGGGAAGATATGAGGTAGTGGATATTCTCAACCGCCACTACACGGCAGATTGTACAGAAGACCGAGGAGTACAATCTGCCACTTTGCCTGGCATATGTGGACTATGAGAAAGCCTTTGATTCCGTCGAAATTTGGGCGGTGCTACAGTCCCTTCAGCGGTGCCAAGTTGACTGTCGGTATATCGAAGTGCTGAAGTGTTTGTACAGCAGGGCTACGATGGCTATCCGAGTACGGAACCAGAATACGAAACATATCCAACTGCAGAGAGGTGTAAGACAGGGTGATGTTATATCCCCGAAACTCTTCACCGCTGCGTTGGAAGACGTTTTCAAGCTACTGGACTGGAAAGGATACGGTATTAACATCAATGGCGTGTACATCACTCACCTTCGATTTGCCGACGATATAGTCCTTATGGCAGAATCGCTGGAGGACCTTAGCACTATGCTCAATGACCTCAATGGTGTCTCCCAACGGATAGGTCTTAAGATGAACATGGACAAAACAAAGATCATGTTCAATGTCCATGTCACACCTATGCCGGTAGTTGTTGGGAGCACTATGCTCGAAGTTGTTGACGAGTACGTTTACCTGGGACAAATAGTCCGACTAGGTAAGTCCAACTTCGACCGCGAGGTCAATCGACGGATTCAACTCGGCTGGGCAGCGTTCGGGAAATTACGACACATCTTCTCGTCAGGTATACCTCAATCTCTGAAAACTAAAGTGTATAACCAGTGCGTGTTGCCAGTGATGACTTACGGATCTGAGACGTGGTCCTTCACCGCTGGCCGTTTGAGGACGCTCAAGGTCGCTCAGCGAGCTATGGAGAGGGCTATGCTCGGAGTTTCACTGCGTGATAGACTCAGAAATGAGGATATCCGCAGTAAAACCAGAGTGACCGACATAGCCCAACGGATTAGTAAGCTGAAGTGGCAATGGGCCGGCCATATAGCTCGAAGAACCGATAACCGATGGGGAAGAAAGGTTTTCGAGTGGCAGCCTCGTACTGGTAGGCGTAGTGTAGGGCGACCCCCCACTAGATGGAGTGACGACCTGGTAAGACATGCAGGAAGTCGATGGATGCAGGTGGCTCAGGACCGTGCTTTGTGGCATTACTTGAGGGAGGCCTATGTTCAGCAGTGGACTTGTGAAGGGCTGTAATGATGATGATGATGATGATGGATTACTCGTTTCGGATCACCTAAAACCATCACAACGGATCAAGGAAGAAACTTCGAAAGCAACCTATTCCTCAAACTTCTTCAAACTATGGGAATACAGAAGACACGTACAACAGCATACCATCCTCAGTCAAACGGAATAATCGAACGATGGGATCGAACGATGGCATCGTACATTGAAGACCACACTCAAAACTCGTTTATCTCAACATACAAAGTGGATTCATGAGCTACCTACAGTGCTACTCGGACTACGAGCAACACCGCGTGCAGACACTAGTCTTAGCGCCGCTCAGCTAACCTACGGTTGCAGCATAAGACTGCCGTGTAACTTCTTCAGTTCAGCAGCGTCAAACAAACAAGAAATGTATAACGATTTCGTAACTCAACTTCGAGAATCAATTAACAAAGCCTTATCGTCGAAATGCACCGAAATGCAATCACACAGAAATAATAAATCAGTATTCATTCACCAAGATAAGAAAACATGCAAGCAAGTTTTTGTAAGAAATGACGCAGTGAAAAAACAATTTCAACCTACCTACGATGGACCGTATAAAGTATTAGAGAGAAAGTTATGTGGAGACTTTTACCCACTAAACCCCACCTTTTAGGGACTGGCTTAACGGTCTAACTAGAGATGTCCAAGCCGTATACGAACGTGACCCTCCTTGGCAGAAAGGAGGGCGCAAGCGGCTGAAAAGCCGCTTAGACGAGTGCCTAACTAAGGCAGATTAAGGGATGTGTTATGTAGGCTCGGCCTGAGCCGCCAGGAGGCAGTTCAGGTCAGCCGAAAGCTTGTTGGGGGGTCCGAGAGAGAGTTTCTCGGTCTGCGCACACTATGGCGAGTGTGGATAGGGGTGCATAGGCAGCTGTCTCACGAATGAGATGATTTGGGTGGAACTCTGAGGCTTTGAAAAATCTCTCAGAGAGTAATTTAAGGAACTGCTGGATTGTTGGGAGCTCTAAGTCTCGGTGTAGGTCGGCATTACGGACATAATAGGGCGAGTTAGTGGCCCTACGACAGAATAGATTTTGAACTATTTGAAGTTCATTTATAGCTTTGGGCTTATCATGTGCGAAAATGGGGGCCGCGTAGGTCATGACAGGTCGTATGCAGACCTTATATAGGGTTCGCTTGTTGCGGAGGGACATTTTACTGTGTCTGCCCAGCATGCTGTTGAGCCTACCCATGTAAAATCGTGCGGTGCGAGTAACCTTCTTGATATGGGGTTCGAAAATGAGCCTTGCATCAAGGGTGACGCCTAAATATTTGGCTGCAGTTTGCCATGGGACAGGGGTTCTTAACATCCTGATTGGCGGAGTGGTGGTGAGACGGCGTCGTTTATATTCGAAGCAAACGGCGGAGCTTTTCTCCGGGTTTACGTCGATACGCCATTTTTGGAACCAAGCTCCTAAGTCGCTTACTGACTTTTGGATCTTGTTCCGAATCTGTGGCAGTGAGTTACCTTTAGAGTAAAGGGCTGTGTCATCTGAGAAGAGGGCCAGTTTAACACCATTCGACGGGATAGGGATGTCGTTGGTGAATAGTATATATAGGAGGGGGGCAAGCACAGAGCCTTGAGGGACACCGGCTTTGATTTGACGAGTAGAGGATAGCGTGCCTTCGTGTCTAAAGCGAAAGGTACGATCCTTCAGATAGGAGGCTACAAGGCGAACGAGACGGTCTGGGAGGCCTAAGTCGTACAATTTGTAGAAAGGCCCTCGTGCCACACTCTGTCGAATGCCTTGGCAACGTCGAATAAGACCGCGATGGTTTTTTGACGACGAGGATAAAAACCGGTGAGGATATATTCCACTATGCGGTGAACTTGCTGGGGGCACGAGTGTTTGGCTCGAAATCCGAATTGTTGTGGGATGACAAGAGGGTCGCCGTCTGTGGGAAACAAATAGCGCCTCATGCGCACGAGAATGAGTCGTTCGAAAAGTTTGCCCATGGCCTTGAGGAGGCTGAATGGACGGTGATTGGACGGGAGGTGGTGAGGTTTGCCTGGCTTGGGAATACCAATGACAGTTGCCTCTTTCCAAGAGGTGGGACAATAGCTAAATTCAAAGCAGGCGTTGAAGATTATGGCCAATAAGGCGATCACCTGCTCCGGAAAGTATTTGAGGGCTTGGTTGGAGATACCATCCGCACCCGGTGCTTTTTTGGGCTTAAGTCCTTTGATGGTAGATGAAATCTCATCTTTGGACATAGTGATAGGGTCAGGGGCGGTAGGGGCGAGTTCCGGCGACGGACCTCGTCCTCCACTAGTTGGATGTGTATGGGGTCAGTGGGTTGTGAGCTGGGAGAGCATTGAGCGGCGACGCTGTCGGCGAAGCACTCAGCCTTTTCTACGTCCTCGAAGGCAATAGAGCCGTCGGGACGAGACAGAGGGGGAGTATGCGTTATAGCGTCTATCCGGAGGGCTCTCGCCATCTGGTAGTACGCTGTGTGGGAGGGAGAGATTTTCTCCATGAGATTGCCCCTTTCGAGGTCTCTGTAATCTTGGAGGCGGTAACGTAGTTTTCGTTGAAGGCGGTGGGCTGCGAGTCTATATTCGGGAGTGGGATAGCGTGCAGCTCTACGGAGGGCAGCTTTTTTGGCTTTTAGCAGGTTGCTAATATCTAGGGGAAGACTAGTTTTAGCAACCGGGACAACCTTTTCATTCTCTTTAAGAGAGGATGTTATAAGTGAGGTGAGATTTTCGACCGCGGTGTCTATTTTTCTTGTACTGTCGAGGACGTCGGAAGAAAGGGTTATGGGAGGGTCCGGAGAGTCTATAGCCGCGGCTAGAGACTTCTAGAAGCCCTTCCAGTTGGTGTAGGTTTTGGAAGTAGGAGTTGGAGATGGCTGATGACCAAGAAGGAGGGATGCAGGACGGTGGTCGGATCCTAGATCATCGAGAGACTCGATTGCTCTAAGGTTAAGGGAGACTCCTTTAACAAGAGCAAGGTCTAGCACGTCAGAAGCGTAGTTAACATTGTCGGGATAGTGGGTGACAGCGCTGATATTGAGAAGCACCTTGCCACTACCGGTAGTAGTGCGGCAGGTCCATTCAGTATGCTTGGAGTTAAAGTCTCCAAACATAATGACTGAACCGCCTAATGCAAGGATGGCTTCGAAATCACTCTTAACGGGGAGGGTTCCGCTAGGGATATAGCAAGAGGCTATAATGATTGACTGGTGTCTAGTCATGGCTAATCTAGTGATAGTGGCTTCCATACTGGTAAGCGTCGGATTGGGTATGTGGGAGCAATGAAGGGACTTTTTGTAATAAATGGCAGTACCGCCGCCTTTGCGGTCGGGTCTGTCATTACGCAGAAGTGAATAATTTTTAATAGAAAGGCCTTTAGAGACCTTGGGGCTGAGGTGGGTCTCCTGAAGGAGGAGGAGGTCGGCTTCGCGATCTCGAAGAAATAGCCTAAGCTCTGGGAGGTTATTTCGCAAACCGCGGATATTGAATGAAACAAGCGACAAACCCTTTGGTTTGATACGACCGTGCGATATTGCGGGAGCAGAGGGCTCCGGCATAGTGTTATTACAAAGACCTTAGTAGGTTGATGTGCTCAGTAAGAGCAATGAGACGATCCTGAGGGGACTCAGCGGTGCGCAGTTTACGCGCAAGGATAAAGATTTCCTCTATATTGATCTTATTCATAGTGTTATACACTAGGCTTAGATCTTCTACTACAGGGTGTGCCTATTTTTGTAGGTCGGCGGAGGGCCGCGGGATATTTGACGCCTTTGGGAACCAGGGGTTTATTGGAAGCGGCGCAGGCTGGTAGAGCGGAAGGCTCATAAGGGGCCGAGGAGGGCCCTGAGGTGGCCGATAGGGGCCCTGAGGGGGCCGATAGATGCCCTGTGTGGGCTGAGATGAGCCCTAAGTTGTGGAAGGAGTTCACGTATAAAAGAAAATTTTCCTAAGTTATGGAAGGTGTTCATGTATAGATGTCTTGTATGGAGGAGCTGTCGGAGATACATACCTGCAGTTGTACATATATATGGGGTGGTCGGGAGCCCGACTGCCTGAAGTACTGTAGCACAATGACTAGTCCTATATTAGGGACTTATGATATTAAATTCAATGATACAAAAGCAATACTATAGAAGGTCTCTATGATTAATATGCATTACAATAGTAGGGTCGTGGGTTCGAACTCTATATATTAATGACTTATGAAAGTAAGGTCTATGACACAAAAGCAATACTATAGAAGGTCTCTATGATTAATATGCACTACACTAGTAGGGTCGTGGGTTCGAACCCTATATATTAATGACTTATGAAAGTAAGGTCTATGCGTTAATAATTCAACGTCATACACTAGCGCCATCTAGTGTCAGGAACGAGAGCGAGGGGAGCTTTGCAGAAAATTACATCACAAATCTTTCAACCGACAGCGCCATCCAAAGAACTAAGTTTCTAGAAAATCTACACTCGAACACTCGTCGCTTTGCGTGCATTTACTTGAATATTCCGGATGCTTCATTGCTAATTTGTATATATAGGCACTGCAAGATGCGATCGGGGCAGTATTGGATTAGGCGAGACAAGCAAAGCTTCGGAGCGGAATAAAGTGAATTAGTGTGTTTAATTATTAGTGTTTTAAGTTTTAATTTGTGTAAAGTAAATTAAAGTGTTAATTTAGATAATTTTATCGGCAATATTTATTGTCACGAACCTCAAGCTCGTAACAATTGGTGTCAGAAGTGGGATAAAATCATGCCGATTTTACCAAAGGAGGAATCGGAGGGTGTCCGTACCCGAAGTCAACGCCAGCAGGAGACGGACCAGAGGAGATTTGGTGGTGCAACGCCGCAGACGTCGGAGGGCCAACGGCCAGCCACGGAGGCTGCGGGCCCGTCAGTAACTCCTACACCTGCAGCACCTGACTTAGGTGCTCTGATGGCGATGCTACAGGAGCAGCTGCAGCGCGGACGAGAGGAACAGGCCCGTCTGTTGAAAAAGCAGCAGGAAGAACAGGCTCGCCGACAAGAGGAACAGATCCGTCAGTTGAAAGAACAGCTGCAGAGCGGACAGGATGAACAGGCCCGCCGACAGGAGGAACAGATGCTTTTCATGAAGGACCTTCATGCTACCTTCGGGAAAGAGATAAGGGAGATGAAGGATAAGAATGCTCAACATGAAAACCGCCTGTCGGAAGCTGAAACCCGAATTGACCAAGTGAACAATCGGGTTGACAACGTAATGGCTGACATGAGGAAATCACTTGACGAACTCAAACTTGGGGAGGGAACTACAGCTCCCGTAGTAGCTACTACACCTTCGCTACGTGGGTTCAAGGTGCCACCATTCGACGGGACTTCTTCCTGGTCAGCCTACAAAATCCAGTTCGAAGCTGTTATGAAGGCGAACGGCTGGAATAAAAATCAGGCCATGACTGCTCTCACACTAGGCCTGCGTGACCAGGCCTTAACAGTTCTGGAAGCTCTCGATGAGGAAGTGACTTATGAGCAACTCCTTGAGGCATTGGAGGCGAGATATGGCGACGCTCACCTGGAACACGTCTTTCGTGCGCAGCTTAAAAATCGTGTGCAGCGCATCAACGAAAACCTGTAGCAGTGGGCTCTAGAAGTGGAAAAGCTGGTGCGAAAAGCATACCGGTCTGTACCTGCGCTCATTGAAGGGAACATGGTGCAGACATCCATCGACGGCATCCGCGACCTGGAAGTCAGAGCTGCTGTGAGGCTCGGGCACCACGAGACGCTTAAGAACGCTTTGGCCCATGCACTGGAAGTGGAAGCCGTGCGGCAGGATCATCGTTCCCATCGCGTCAGGGAGGTCGCAGCAGCTACAGTCCGTGACCGCAGCAAAGGATACGGCCCTAGGTGCTATGGCTGTGGCGAAAAGGGCCATCTTCGATCCAGCTGCCCTAAGCGAACCCTAGAAAGGGAAGGTGAACGATCTCAGGAGGGTAGTGCGGCCAACAGCACCGCCCAGCAGCAGCAGAAATACGACTTTACTATCAGACACTGCAGCGGGAAATCTCACGGCAACGCAGATGCATTGTCAAGAAGACCTTTTCCTGAAGATTGCAACCATTGTAGTAGGCAAGAGAGTAAGGAAGTGGTATCCGTGAGGATGCTCAGGACAGACCACCTCAGCAACGGGTGGAAGGACAGCTTACAACATGCACAGCAGGAGGATCTGGACATCGATAAAGGCCAGTGCTCCCAAGCCTAAGTGGAGCGACGTCTCAGCAATGAGTTCGACCTCTAAAAGCTATTGGGCCCAGTGGGACAGCTTGCTGCTTCAGGATGGAGTTCTGTGCCGTAAATGGGAAAATGTTAGGGGAGACAGCTGTCATTTGCAAATGGTTGTCCCTAAAGCTAAAGTACCGGATGTTCTACAGCTGTACCATAATTATTGTTCCGGAGGCCATCTGGGAGTTAAACGAACTCTACTGAAGATCCGAGAACGGTTTTATTGGGTCCACTGTCGAAACGATATCGAGGACTGGTGTCGCAAATGTACAAGTTGTGCGGCTGTAAAGGGACCTCAGACTCGTAGTAGAGGTGCATTGAAGTTGTACAATGTTGGTGCACCATGGGAGAGAATAGCCATTAACGTGGCGGGGCCGTTTCCGGAGAGTGAAAGCGGTAACAAGTATTTCATGGTTGTGATGGATTACTTCACAAAGTGGCCAGAAGTTTTCGCCATTCCAAATCAAGAAGCTTCAACAGTTGCAGATAAACTAGTTCATGAAGTCTTCTGTCGTTTTGGAGTACCTTTAAAGATTCACAGCGATCAAGGAAGGAATTTTGAGTCTCAAATATTCCAGGAAACTTGCCGAGTTATGGGTACTCATAAAACAAGAACGACTTCTTATCACCCGCAATCTGATGGAATGGTGGAACGATTTAATCAGACATTGGAGAGGTACCTAGCAAAAGTTGTAGACAATCGGCAACGAGATTGGGACAAGCACATACAACCGTTTTTGTTGTCATATCGAAGTTCTGTTCACGAAAGTACAGCAGTGACACCAGCTTTCGCAAACTTTGGAAGAGAATTACGGCTGCCTGCAGACCTGATCACCGGGATACCACCTGATGCCCCACGCAATATAACCGATTATGCAAATGACTTGCGGAACAAAATGAATGACATTTATGAGCACGTCAGACAATCGGGCCAGCAAATGTCTGAGAAAATGAAAACCCGGTACGACCGCAAAATGAACAATAAAGGGTTCAACGAAGGTTCATTAGTGTGGTTGCACAATCCAGTCCGCAGCAAAGGGAAATCTCCTAAGCTTCAAGCTAAATGGGACGGCCCGTACCGGATTGTAACCAGGATCAACGATGTGACATACCGGATACAGAAAGGCGCAAGAGGGACTCCTAAGATCGTCCATGTGGATCGCTTGGCGCGTTATTATGGGACCGATAATGCTCGGGACGAGCATGTCTTAGGAGGGGGCAGTGTTGCGTGAATAAGTCAACGTCATACACTAGCGCCATCTAGTGTCAGGAACGAGAGCGAGGGGATCTTTGCAGAAAAAGGCATCACAAATCTTTCAACCGACAGCGCCATCCGAAGAACTAAGTTTCTAGAAAATCTACACTCGAACACTCGTCGCTTGCGCGTACTTGAATATTCCGGATGCTTCATTGCTAATTTTTATATATAAGCGCTGCAAGATGCGATCGGGGCATTATTTGATTTGGCGAGACAAGCGAAGCTTCGGAGCTGAATAAAGTGAATTAGTGTGTTTAATTATTAGTGTTTTAAGTTTTAATTTGTGTAAAGTAAATTAAAGTGTTAATTTAGGTAATTTTATCGGCAATATTTATTGTCACGAACCTCAAGCTCGTAACAATACAAAAGCAATACTATAGAAGGTCTCTATGATTAATATGCATTACAATAGTAGGGTCGTGGGTTCGAATCATATATATGAATGACTTATGAAAGTAAGGTCTATGATACAAAAGCAATATTATAGAAGGTCTCCTTGATGCATAAGCATTGTATGGGGTGGTCGGGTGACCGACTGCTCCTAGTACTGTAGCAAAATGACTAGTCCTTATTAGGGACTTGAAAAGGAATATTATGGTGGTGTGTGTACTGCTTCACGATCAATTGTTCCGAGGTAAACTTGGACTCGCTAACCGATGTGTCCTAGACATATCATCTTAGTGCCGGTGGTAAGCGGGTTTGTTGTAGCAATACGGCTTTCCCGTGGACATCGCACACCCATACCGTTTGTGGGCGGCGTAGTAGCGCATAGCGATGCGTCGTCTATATTTCGGATTGGGATGATGAGTGTGTTTGGTAGCACTTTTAAGTGTAACAGGCATACTCAACTTCATGTCTTAGTGCATTAGCGCTATGATACGTGGAGTTTTGTTCATTGGCGTCTTGGTAGCGTGCTACTATGATACGTTGGTGATATTTTTTATATAACAACAATACAAACTTTGTTACCAAAGTCGATAGGGTTCATGTGGGTGTGTTGTGAGGGGGCGCCATCCGTGTGATAGTTTTATTGATGCTTACTGCTACTTGCGGTATTGCGTCTTGTGATGGATCTGCGGGTGTGCTGCGCTGAGGGTGTGATGTCTGCTGGGATGTATGGGGGACGTAGGGATGGTGTAAGCCCGACGATAGTCGTATTGATGCTTGTTGTGTTCTGCAGCGTTGCGTCTTCGCGATGGTTGTTTGGTGGGAAGCTATTCTCAATGGCGCTCTCTGCGTCTTGGTTTCAGTCACACCTGAGTAGCTTTGCCCAAGTCGGGTCCCTACATTACGGGGCTGCAGACTGTCTGCCCTCCACGATGTTTTATATAACAACATAATATTATATCTCTGTAACTTTCCCACCTTTGAATGATTGAAGGCAACTTGTTGGTGGGTGCGACAAACATGATCGAAAATGCATTTACTCAACGTCAGTGACACAAACCCTTTCTGATGGCGAATTATTACTCTTATCTTATAACTGCCTTTTGGCTATATCTGCCGTTGTATTGGTTGGTGGAGCATATGTGTCGACCTCATGCGGGTGGTAGCTGGCGGAAGGATCTGAGGAGACTCTCAAGGCTGCGGCCGAAAGCCGCACAACGTGGGACCCCATTCCCTTGAGGTGAGCGGTAGACTCATGACACGCTCTGCGGCCGAGAGACATTTATTTATATTTATTATTTATATTTGAAGATTAAGAGTGTGATCGGAGAGTTTTTATGTTCTTCTGTGGCGAGTCTTAAATTTTTTCAAGACAGGTGGCAAACAATTATTAGTGTACCACTCTGCAGTAACTGTTATTCGATCCTTTAAAACAATTGTTGCATAATGACCTGTCCTTCCAAAAAACGAGGCCACCATCTTTTTTCCCACACTTTGACCTCTCTTCACTTTAGTTAGCAACAGCAGACTGTCTCTTAGCTCTGCTGCTAGTAGCCGTGCTGATCATGCAATTGGTGGTGATGCCATACACTTACACCACGTCTGCAGGAGCGGCGGTCTGGCAGGTGGTGGCTCTCACGGAGGGTTTACGGCCAGTGTGCCTATTTGCCTAAACCGTGTGACGTACATTCACTGTGGCTGGATTCGTTCGTATTCTGTATGACGTTTACACGCATTGACATGCGCGACCTCGGTCGATGTTTCTGCTTACGCACTAACAAGGGGCCAAGCCCCTTATACTGGTTCGCCAGTTATTTTGCTGTGGACTATGGTCCAGTTCCCGAATTAACGTTTCCTACGGGGGAGTGCATTAAAATGGTTGGCGCTCACCGTGCACGGCGTTTGTGGGGCCGTGTGCCTCCCCTACATTTTTTTAAATAAATGTAGGAGAGCGAAGCCTTGTATCGGGTATTTTGTACAAATATATTTTGAGCCTTTTCCGAGCGGGAAGGGATAATTAATAATGTAAACCTGATACAAGTGGAATAGGGACGTTTTATGTTCTCAACCTTTCTCGAGCCCTGTCTTCGTGAACGGGGTTCACTTAGCTTATAAGGCACTACCAACAGCTTTTAATTGTTCTAGTGAATATTCATTCTTCCAAAAGGCACCTAAAAGAATTAAGTTACTAAACAAACACAACGTAAATAAGGGTCCTAACTAAGACGATCACGCCAAAAATATTACAAACGGCCTATTATTAAACCTTTAGAAAGATCATTTAGAAAGATCAAAACATATTTTATTAATCTTGGTCACAAATTTATATATTATTATGTAAAGGGGAATATAATACATTTAGTACTTAATATATTTATTATTATGAGAGAGGGGGGAAGCGTTACATTATGAACATAAACGAGGACATTCTGGAAGACCTTAAGTCCCAAGGCTTCCCCATAGAGGCTGTGCACAAAATGCACAGCAGCAGGGGCGAAAGACTTAACCTCGCCCTCCTCGTTCCCACCAATGTGCCGGAGGCGAAGGCCATCTTCCGCGAGGTACGCACTGTGTGCGGCCTGTCGCGTGTAAAGGTCGAAGCCCCACACCGGCGCGGTTACACAGCGCAGTGCCACCGCTGCCAACTCTATGGGCACGCGGCAGCCAACTGCTCAGCTCCACCAAGGTGCGCTAAGTGCCTAGAACACCATCACTCGAAAGAGTGCCCTCGGCCCAAAAACGCCGAATCCCCACCCTCATGTGTCCTTTGCGGACAAACAGGCCACCCGGCCAATTTTAGAGGTTGCCCTCACGCTCCTCGCCCACCTCCGAGCCACAAAGCTCCACCGCAGGTCAATGACCGAACCTTCCCGGCTCTTGTAAGCCGCAAGCCCCGCCAGGGCCAGCCCCTACCTCAGCCAAGAAATTTCTTTTATACATGAACTCCTTCCGAGACTTAGACAATTTTTAACAAATTTTCTAATTATCTTATAAATGTTATTTATCTTTATTTTTATAATATTTTCGACTTGTATTTCTATTATTTATCTTATTTTAAATATTTTTTCAAGTTTTTAATAAATTTATTAATTATGGAAGACAATATTTTGCCTTTAATTTACTATGTTATTGGTCTAATGTCTGAAATGTATTTATATTAACTTTATGGTTATTAATGTAATTTTATTGTTTATTATATATCTTTTAAGACTATTTTGACGCCCCTTTATATTGAATTTAATTATTAATAATAATATTGGGCCGTCACAATAAGGAACTCCGCGGAGGACTGCCTTAACCTTCCTTTCTTCGGCGAGGGCGTATGTGTGATAGGA